GTGGTATATAAATATTATAAATAAATAAATGCGTAAATATCTATTATTATATACCGTTCTTATATTATTGTATTATTATATATTATATTTATTTATATCCTGCTTTATCTCTCCATATGGAATCTTAAAGCGGCTCACAATCAAAACATCATAACTTCAAATATACAAATATATAATAATAAAACAGTACGTTCAGTTGTGTGCCAAATTAGGTCCAGGTCCATCATTGGTGATGTTCAGAGTGCTCTTTGATTGCAGGTGAACTATAAATCCCAGTAGCTGCAACTAACAAATGTCAAGGCCAATTCCACCCCAAACCTACCGATATTCAGATTTTTGCATATCGGGTATGCATGCCAAATTTGGTACAGATCCATTGTTGTTTGTGTTCACAGTGCTCTGGATTCGGTGAACTATAATTCACCCTTCCTGTATTTTTTGTTGGTCATGGGTGAGGTCCAGGGCCATCATTGGTAGGGTCCAGAGTGCTCTATAGGTGAACTATAAATCCCAGTATCTACAATGGCTATAATTTATTTATTTATTTATATACCGCTTTTCTCAGTCCTCAGGCGACTCAAAGCGGTGAACAACATCGATACAAAACATGAAGAGACAAGTACAGGGCAATTAAAAACAATTGTAACATAAATCATTAAACATCCGTATAACAATCATTAGCGCCCCAACAGTAAAATCAGAATCCAGTCTCGTCATCCATTATTCCATATTCCTATGTTCAATTACACTGTTTAATCAAATGCTTGTTCGAACAGCCAGGTCTTCACTTTCCTCCGAAACGCTAGCAGGGAGGGGGCCAATCTGATATCTGCAGGCAGGGCGTTCCACAGCCGAGGGGCCACCACTGAGAAGGCCCTGTCTCTTGTCCCCGCCAAGGACGCCTGTGATGCAGGCAGGACAGAGAGCAGGGCCTCCCCAGATGATCTTAGTGTCCTAGCCGATTCATAGGAGGAGATGCGTTCGGAGAGGTAAGTAGGGCCAGAACCGTTTAGGGCTTTATAGGCTAAAGCCAGCACTTTGAATTGTGCCCGGAAGCAAACTGGCAGCCAGTGGAGCTGGCGCAACAGAGGAGTAGTATGCTCCCTGAGTGCCGCTCCTGTTAGCAACCTGGCTGCCGAACGCTGGACCATTTGAAGCTTCTGAGCAGTCTTCAAAGGCAACCCCACGTAGAGAGCATTGCAGTAGTCTATACGGGATGTAAGCAGAGCGTGGACTACCATGGCCAAGTCAGATTTCCCAAGGTACAGACGCAGCTGGCGCACAAGTTTTAACTCTGTGAATGCTCCCCTGGTCACCACTGAAACCTGGGGTTCCAGGCTCAGCGACATGTCCAAGTTCACACTCAAGCTGCGAACCTGCGTCTTCAGGGGGAGTGTAACCCCGTCCAACACAGGCTGTAACCCTATGCCCTGTTCGGCCTTATGACTGACCAGGAGTACCTCTGTCTTGTCTGGATTCAATTTCAATTTGTTCGCCCTCATCCAGACCATTACAGCGGCCAAGCACCGGTTCAGGACCTGAACAGCTTCCTTAGTAGCAGGTGGAAAGGAGTGACAGAGTTGGACACCATCCGCGTACAGGTGACACCATACCCCGAAACTCCAGATGATCTCCCCCAGCGGCTTCATGTAGATGTTAAACAACACGGGAGACAATATTGATCCCTGTGGAACCCCACAAGACAATGGTTGTGGGGCAGAACAGGTGTCCCCCAGCAACACCTTCTGAGATCGACCCTCTAGGAATGACCGGAGCCACTGCAGAAGAGTACCTCCAAGGCCCATTCCCGCGAGGTGTCCCAGAAGGATACCGTGGTCGACGGTATCGAAGGCCGCTGAGAGGTCCAGCAGAACTAACAGGGACACACTCCCCCTGTCTAGCTCCCGGTGTAGATCATCCACTAAGGCGACCAAGACTGTTTCAGTTCCATGTCCCGGCCTAAAGCCAGACTGTGCCGAATCCAGATAATCCGTGTCTTCCAAGAATACCTGGAGTTGTGAAGCCACCACACGTTCCAGGACTTTGCCCAAAAAGGGGAGATTGGAAACTGGCAGATAGTTGACAAATGGGGTGGGGTCCAGTGATGGTTTTTTCAACAGCAGTTTTATTATAGCTTGTTTTAAGCTCTCTGGAATGTTGCCTTCCCGAAGGGAGGCATTAACCACCACCTTTACCCACTCGGCCAATCCCCTTCTGGCTTCCTTCAAAAGCCAGGATGGGCAGGGGTCTAGGATGCATGTGGTAGGCCTCATTCCTCCAAATATCTTGTCCACATCCTTGGGTTTCACCAATTGAAATGAATCCATTAAAACTGGACAAGCAGATGTTCCAGCTACATCCTCAGAGACTGCTGTTAATGTGGTATCCAGACCAGAACAGATCAAAGTGACTTCGTCTGCAAAGAACTGAGCAAAAGCTTCACAGCGGGCTGCCGAGTTGTCAGGGCTCCCATCCTGAGTGGTGGGATTTAAAAGGCCTCTGACAACTCGAAACAGCTCAGCCGGACGGTTCTTTGCAGACGCATTAGTGGTCGCAAAGAAAGATTTCTTTGCGGCCTTTATTGCCGCGGCATATGCCCTTAAAAAGGACACAAACCGTGCTCGGTTTGGCTTGCTCGGATCCGAACGTCACACACTCTAGTTCCCTCTTCCTTCGCTTCATCGCTGCCAACTCCTCGTTGAACCAAGGAGCTGGTTTAGCTCGACTACTTGAGAGGGGACGTTCTGGAGCAATCGTGTCTATTGCCCTAGTCATCTCCCCATTCCAGAGAGTGACCAGGGCATCAACAGGATCACCTACCGAGGTGGCGGGAAACTCCCCAAGAGCCATCAGGAATCCATCTGGATCCATAAGCCTCTTGGGGCGGACCAACTTAATGGGTCCCCCACCCCTGCGGAGGTTAGGAGGTGCAGTGAGTCTAAATCTGACCAGGTAGTGGTTGGTCCATGGCAACGGAGAGATGGTCAACTCCTCAACACCGCCACCATGCTCCCATCCCTGGCAGAAAACCAAATCCAACGTGTGTATAAACCAAGGTGAATTCTCTCCAGACCTGGTAATGGTGATTCTGTGTGCCAAATCTGGTCCAGACCCATTGTCGGGGGGGGGGGGGGGGGTTTCACAGCGCTCTGTCTTGATGTAGGGTGAACTACAACTTCCATCATGTGGAGTCAATCCCCCAACTCCCCCAGTATTTTAGTTGTTGATTAGTTCTGATCTGTTTGTTGTGCAGACAGAGTTGAAAAGAGTAGGAAGGGGTTAAGGGAGAGGCGGTGGGTGGGATCATTCAAATTCCACACCAATTGAGAGAGAAAGAAACACTGTGATGTCTGTGGTGGAGGAAACACGTAAAATCTAGGATGAAATTGTTCCCAAATGAAAGCATTCCTTGGTTGGTGGGATTATGGTGTTTGGGAAGGACATGGGCAGGGTGCTTGTACATATTCATGGCAATCACTATAGCCTGCCATGTCATTGGAGGGAGAGCCGTTGCTGTCTCCAGAGTAGTGGGAGATATAGCTGTTTATGTAAGTGGGAGCCTGTCTGTGGAACTGGACACCCCAGCCATATACATACATATGTATTTTCACTTTTATTATGGACTAGCTTGGGTACCCCGTGATGCCCAGGTTATTTGAAAAAGGCATTGTTTGTTTTGGGGTGAAAGATAATATCATTTAGTTAATTAGTAATACTATTTATTAGAAAAAAAGCCAGTTTTTGATTTTGTTTTTTATGAATGCCCCTATTAGAAAATGCAAAAGGATGTGAGTGAACTACAATTCCCAGAACCGTGTGTAAATCCTCCCCAAACTAGGCTTTTATAAACAGTTGTCCTTGTTGGGTCTCTGTGTGTTTGGTCCAAAGCCGATGTTAGTTGGGTTCAGTGGTATCTGGATTCACGTGAACTACAACTCCCAAATTTCCCCAAACTCTGACAGTTGGACATGTTGGGTCTGTGTGCCATGTTTGGTCTAGATCCATCATTGGTGGGGTTCAGAGTGCTCTGGGTGCAGGATGAACTACAACTCCCACTTGGGTAGGTTGGTCCCCCCCACAAACACCTCTAGTATGTTCTGTTGGTCACCAGGGTTCTGTGTGCATGTTTGGTCCAGATCTGTCACTGGTGGGATTCAGAGTGCTCTGGGTGCAGGGTGAACTACAACTCCCATGTGGGTAGGTTGGTCCCGTCCCCCCCACAAACACCTCTAGTATGTTCTGTTGGTCACCAGGGTTCTGTGTGCAAGTTTGGTCCAGATCTGTCACTGGTGGGGTTCAGAGTGCTCTGGGTGCAGGGTGAACTACAACTCCCATGTGGGTAGGTCATTCCCAAATCTGCACCAAGACGTAAACTAGATCATGGGGGGGGGGGGGGGGGGGGGGGGTCTGTGTGGCAAGTTTGCTCCAGGGCCGTGATTTGTGGGGGTCGCAGTGGTCTCAGGATGAGAGTGAAAGTACTGCAAATCCCATCATCCATGGCAAGTGTGGTCCAGACCCATCATTGGTTCGGTTCACAGTGCTCTCTGGATGTAGGTGAACTGCAACGCCTATAAATCAAGGTCAATTCCCTCCAACTTCTTTTTCAGTTGATGATCAATTCTTGTTTGCTGTGTGCCGTAGGAAAGGGTTACGGGAGAGGCAATGGGCGGGGGTCATGCAAATTCCACACCAATGGAGAGAGAGAGGAACCCTGGGATGTCCATTTCTGGAGGAAAAATAGAACATCTAGGATGAAATTGTCCCCGAATGAAAGCATTCCTTGCGTGCGGGGCAGTAGGGTGTTTGAGGAGGATATTGGCAGGGGTTGGAAGACATGGTCATGGTGCCCGCTGGAAGAGCTTTTGGTGGCTTTTCAGCACTGTGGGTTGTAGCTGTTTGTGGAGGTGGGAGGCTCTCTGGACACATCTGCCACATACACATTTTCAATTAAGGGCCACACACACTGTATTTATTTCCTGTCTCTGTTTCTCTTACACCAGGCCTACTTCCGCCAGGGGGTGGCGTTGCAGTACCTGGGCCGCCACGGGGACGCTCTGGCGGCCTTTGCCTCGGGCCTGGCCCAGGACCCCAAGAGCCTCCAGCTCCTCCTCGGCATCAGCGAGGCCGCACTCAAGTCACCCTTGCGAGGTAGGACAAAAGGATTATTATTACTATTATTATTATTTCTATTATCCTTTATTATTATTATTATTATTATTATTATTATTATTATTGTAAATATTATGTAATATTATCCATTATTATTAGTACCATTATAGTTTATTATTATCTAATATTATTATTCATTGTCATTATTATCCATTATCATTATCAAAAACCTCCTTGCAAGGTAGGACACACCCAGGATGCATCTCTGCTCATTTACATGCCCAGAGCCTCTGAAGGCATTCTCCTGACTGCTAGGCCTTGCTCCTCCCCCTTCATTTGCATCCCCTCTTGCCATAGGTCACCAGGAGCCTTCTCAGTTGTCTGGCTACACCCCAGAAGCTTTCCCCTGACTCTTACCTATTATTATTATTATTATTATTATTATTATCATCATCATATTATTACCTATCATTACTATTATCTAAAATTATTATACATTATAATTACCATCCATTAATATCTATTATTATCTATTGTTATTATCGTTATATATTATTATTATCATACATATTATTGTTATATTATTTTATTATCCATTATTATTTTATAATATTATACATTATAATGATTATCTATGATTATCTATTACTATTATTATTATCATTATTATTATCATAACATATAAATTATATGTTATCATCATATTTTTTATTATGTTATGCATTATTAGTAGCCTATATTATTATCATTACATTATTATCCATTAATATAATATATTATTATATTATTGTTATCATATATTATTTTTATATTACATTATTATCATATTATTATCCGTCTTTGCCGTGGTCCTGGCTCAGGACCCCTAAAGCCCAGGGCACACCCCTTCATTTGCATGGCCACACCTCTCATGGGTGGGGCCTAAGGCTTTGTACTGACTTTTACCTAGTATTATCTGTATATATAATTTTTATCTAATACCCATCATTGTTATATATTCTTATTAGACAGTGTTATTATCCAGTATTTTATTATTATTATCTTAATAATAATAATATAATTATATTATAATTATAATATTTTTATAATATTGTTATAATATTATTGAGGCCCCCATGAAGTCCTCCTTGCGAGGTAGGACATGCCATGTCCGTTGCCTAGGCCCCACCCCAGAGGTTGGAGGGGCCTTGGGTAGGGGTATGTTGGAAATGGCAACCACCTTAATGGCAACCACCTTCCTGTAGTAAATTATTTGTCTATCAACCTGTTGCTTCCTGCTTCCTGTATGTATGTTTTGGTATGCAGCTTTCTTTTCTTGCTCTGTTTTTTCCTGAGAAGTTGTGGGAGAGGCTGCAAACCACATGATCTGCTCTGAAACAAGCACAGACTTCTTTAGACTTTGGGACTGCTTAGAGCGCAGACTTCTTGAGACTTATGATGTATTATTATTTGGTAGAAGGGGGTATGGCTTAAGGCTTTCGATTGACTGCTAGGCCTCGCTCCTTCCCCTCACTTGCGTACCCTCTTTCCCTAGGTTCCCTTGTAGTAGGTGGGCAGGGCCTAAGTCCTTCCTTGAAGCCCTCCACCCCCTCATTTGTATAATGTCTTCCCCTAGCTTCCCTGGAGCCGACGTATGCACAGCTGCAGCGCATGGGGCTGGACAAGAGCGCCTTCGTGGTGGTCTCGGTCATCGGGCAGGAGCTGCTGACCTCCGGCCAGCAGGGAGCATCCGTGGTGGTGCTGGAGGCCGCCCTGAAGATCGGGACCTGCAGCCTCCGCCTGCGTGGCTCCGTCCTCTCCGCCCTCTCTGCCGCCCACTGGGCTCTCGGCCAAACAGAACGCAGCATTCACTACATGCAGCAGGACCTCAGCACCGCCAAGGCCCTTGGTATATGCTCATCATATTAGATTATTATTACTAGCTTGGGGACCCAGAGATACCCAGATTATTAGAAGGCATTGTTTGTTTTGAGATGTTATGTAATATCACTTAAGTTTGGTCCAGATCCATCATTTGCTGGGTTCACTGATCTCTGAATAAGGCAGTACTACAACTCCCAGATTCCCAGGGCAGTCACCCCCAAATCTTGCCAATATTCACAGTTGGCCATATTGGGTCTGTGTGCCAAGTTATTGGCTGGGTTTAGTGCTCTCTGGATAAGGGAGAACTACAACTCATACGCGATTGAGTTGTTCCCCCTACAAACACCCCCAGTATGTTCTATTGGTCACCATGTTTTTGTGTGCCTATTTGGTCCAGGCCTGTCGTGCGTGGGGGGTCGCAGTTGCCTGTGGCAATGGGAGCCAATCAGAAAGCAGAGAAAAACATTGCCCGCCACATACATACAAACATAGTCCTCTAAATCCCTTCAGAGACCGCCAGCATTTTTTGTTCAGGATCCGACTGAATGGCACGCATTTTAAAAAAGGAAGTTATGCTGTCTCACCCTGTATATATATAGTGCACATGCTATATATTTTTATTATATTTTAATATTCTAATATTTTAATATTTGGATTGATTGGCAGGTGACCAGATGGGCGAGTGCCGGGCCTATGGCAACTTAGGCTCTGCCTCCTTCTCGAAAGGCAACTACCGCGAGGCGCTAACAAACCACCGGCAGCAATTAATGCTGGCCATGAAGCTCAAGGATCGGGAGGTGAAATTCAGGCCCTCATTTGCATAATTTTTGCATAAATTAATGTTCCAGGAACCCTCTCTTTTTTGTCGAGTCTTCAGTGTGCATCAAGACTTCTCTTTCCTCTCTTCTTCAGTGTCCTCTGTCTCTCTCCAATCAGTTCATTATTTAATGTAATAATTATTGTTTATTATTACTATACATTATTATTATCATCTAAGGCTTTCATGGCCGGAATCCATGGGTTGTTGTAGGTTTTTCCGGGCTATATGGCCATGTTCTGGAGGCAATTTTTCTCCTGACGTTTCGCCTGCATCTATGGCAAGCATCCTCAGAGGTAATGAGGTAATGAGACCTCATTACCTCTTGAGGATGCTTGCCATAGATGCAGGCGAAACGTCAGGAGAAAAATTGCCTCCAGAACATGGCCATATAGCCCGGAAAAACCTACAACAACCCATTATTATTATCTACTACAGTGTTTCTCAACCTGAGGGTCGGGACCCCTGAGGGGGTCACGAAGGGGTGGCAGAGGGGTCACCAAAGACCACCAGAAAACACAGTATTTTCTGATGGTCATGGGGATTCCATGTGGGAAGTTTGAGGCCATTCTATCGTTGGTGGAGTTCAGAATGTTCTTTGATTGTAGTGAACTATAAATCCCAGCAACTACAATTCCCAAAAGTCAAGGTCTATTTTCCCCAGACTTCACCAGTGTTCACATTTGCGCATATTGAGTATTTGTGCCAAGTTTGGTCCAGATCCACCATTGCATGAGTCCACAGTGCTCTCTGGATGTAGGTGAACTACAACTCCAACACTCAAGGTCAATGCCCACCAAACTCTTCTAGTGTTTTCTGTTGGTCAGGGGAGTTCTGTGTGCTAAGTTTGGTTCAATTCCATCGTTGATGGAGTTCACAATGCTCTTTGATTGTAGGTGAACTATATATCCCAGCAACTACAACTCCCAAATGACAAAATCATAGTTTTTTTGAGTGATGGTCACTCCTTGTGTTGTGAGACATTTTGTTGTCAAATTTGGTGTGATTTCGTTCATTGGTTCTTTTGTTTTTAAGGTACTCATTATGCACAGAGCATTTATAGATAGATAGATAGATAGATAGATAGATAGATAGATAGATAGATAGAGATAGATTATTATTATCTTCTATTATCTATTATTATTACATAATAATAATGAATAACAGAAGATAATGATTATGTATGATGATAACAATGATGTATAATGATACATTATGTACAGTTCTTTGATGTGCATCAAGTCCTCTTTCCTCGATTCTTCAAAGTCCTCTGTCTCTTTCCTCTATTCTTCCATGTGCATCAAGACACCTCTCTATTTCCTCTCTCCTTCCGTCTGCAGTGTGCCTCCTCGGCCCTGACCAGCCTGGGCCACGTCTACACCTCCATCGGGGACTTCCCCAACGCGCTCTCCAGCCACAAGCAGTGCGTCCTGCTGGCCCGACAAGGGCTTGAGACCCCAACCGGGCGGCTGACGGAAGCCCGCGAGCTGGGCAACATGGGAGCTGTCTACATCGCCATGGGGAACTTCGAGGAGGCAGTGCGCTGCCACGAGGAGCACCTGCGCCTTGCTAAGGAGCTGGGCGACTGCAAGGTATCATTATTATAATAATATTGCATTAAAGTATTATATTATTATTATTATTATTGTTATTATATTGTTATATTACTTTGCATTACATTATATATTATTATATTATATTACATTCGTAGTATAATATATATGTTATCTTATACTATATTGCATTATTATTATTTTGTTATAATACTAGCTTGGGGACCCAGCGGTGCCTGGGTTATTAGAAGTTCATTCCACGTCTGTCATTCGTGGGGTTCTCAGTGACCCGTGGAAATGGTAGCCAATCAGAAAGCTGTGGCATACATACATACACACATACGAACACTGATTTATTATATACTAGCTGTCCCCTGCCACGTGTTGCTGTGGCCCAGTCTGGAGATCTGGAAAATAAAGTAATGAGAAAGTGTTGGTTTCTAATATATGTAATTCCTTTCTGCTTGTGAGTAAACAGTATTTCTTGTTTCTTTGTCAGTGTTGATGTGGAGAGTGTCTGGTTTGCCTACTCTGGAACATGCAACATATCATTGTCCTTCTTTAAGGGTCTCTTTCAAATCTATGATACTATGTCTCTGTGTGTGAGAGAGAATCATATCTATCTATATTTATGACTGGATGGCTCTTTGTCAGGAGGGCTCTGATTCAATTTTCTTTCCCTGGTGAAGAGAGTTGGACTGGATGGCCTTAAGTATTTTCTGTTGGTCATGGGGGTTCTGTGTGGGAAGTTTGCCCCATTTCTGTCGTTTGTGGGTTTCAGAATGCTCTTTAATTGTAGTGAACTATACATCCCAGTAACTACAAATCCCAAATGTCAAGGTCTATTTCCTCCAAACTCCATCTGTGTTCATATATAGAGGCATATAGAATATTTGTGTCAAGTCATTGTTTGAGTCCACAGTGCTCTCTGGATGTAGGTGAACTACAACTCCCAAACTCAAGGTCAATGCCCATCAAACCCTTCCAGTGTGTTCTATTGGTCATGGAAGTCCTATATGCCATGTTTGGTTGAATTCCATTATTGGTGGAGTTCAGAAAGCTCTTTGATTGTAGGTGAACCCAGCAACTACAACTCCCAAATGTCAAGGTCTATTTCCCTTAAACTCCATCTGTGTTCATATTTGTGTCAAGTTTGGTCCAAATCCGTCATTGTTTGAGTCTACAGTGCTCTCAGTGCTATAATTCCCAAACTCAAGGTCAATGTCCACCAAACCCTTCCAGTTTTTTCTGTTGGTCTTGGGAGCCCTGTGTGCTAAGTTTGGCCCAATTCCATCATTGGTGGAGTTCAGAATGCTCTTTGATTGTAGGTAAACTATAAATCCCAGCAACGACAAATCCCAAATGACAAAATCAATTTTTTTGAGTGGAGAGTAATACTAATTTATTATATTATATTAGTATTATTATCATGGAGCCCCCGGTGGCGCAGTGGGTTAAACCCCTGTGCCGGCAGGACTGAAGACCAACAGGTCGCAGGTTCGAATCCGGGGAGAGGCGGATGAGCTCCCTCTATCAGCTCCAGCTCCTCATGCGGGGACATGAAGAAGCCTCCCACAAGGATGATAAAAACATCAAATCATCCAGGCGTCCCCTAGGCAACGTCCTTGCAGATGGCCAATTCTCTCACACCAGAAGCGACTTGTAGTATCTCAAGTCGCTCCTGACACAAAAAAAAAAATAATATTATCAACGTGCCAATAAGCAGGAGAAAGCCTACTGCAGGCTAATACTTAAATTATTATTATATTATTGTTTAAATTATTATTATTATTTATATTATTATATTACTATAGTATATTAGGAGAAGGCCTACCATAGGCTGGGCGCACACACAGGTCGCTGTCATTATACTATGTTAGTACTGTTATTATTATTATTATTTATATTATTATATTTATTATTTATATTATTTTACTATATTACGTTATATGACATTTTATTATATTTATATTATTATTTATATGACTTATTACTGGATTATAAATTATTATATTATTATATATTGTATTATACATTGTATTATACAATAATGTATTATACATTGTTTTATTTATATTATTCCATTATTACTATTTTATGTTATACAATATACTATATTATTTTTATTATGTTATTGTTAGTGTTATTGCTATTATATTATAGTATAATATTATACTATATATTATTGTTGTTGTTATTATTATATATTAGGAGAAGGCCTACCACAGGCTGGGTGCAGCACACAGGTTGGAATCATATTATAATATATTATTATATATAATAAATTAGTATTACTAATATTATATTAGTACTATTATATTATTATAAACTCTCCAATGAGCAGGAGAAGGCCTACTGCGGGCTGGGCGCATCACACAGATTGAGGTCATATAGGTCACCCTATATTAGTACTCTAACATTATTATTATATTTTTATTTTACTGACACGGAAACACAGTATGTCACAGCAAATATAACATATATGTTGGATTTTATTATTATTATATTTATTATTAGGAATATTATTATTTATATTATAGTATAGTATATTTTTGGAGAAGGCCTAGCGTGGGCTGGGTACAGCACACAGATTAGAGTCATGTTGCATTAGATTAGTACTATTTTATTAATCTTATATTTATTGTTATATTTATATTATTGTTTGTATAATTAATCTTATTTTATTTATATTTGTATTACACTATTTTATTATTATTATTATTATCATCATCATTATTATTATTATTACTATCCCTTCTCTTCCCTGCCTTCTCTCCTCTGTCTTGTTATTATTAGTATTATTATTATTATTATTATTATTATTATATTAATATTATTTTCTCCCTCTCCTCCTTCAGGTCTGTCAGTCTCTTATATTAGTATTATATAGTATGATAGTACAATATAGTAATATATCATAATAATATTGTGCTGTACTAATAATATAATATATTGTATGTTGTTCATTGTTCATTCGTTCAGTCGTCTCCGACTCTTCGTGACCTCATGGACCAGCCCACGCAAAGCTCCCTGTCGGCTGTCACCACCCCCAGCTCCTTCAGGGTCAAGCCAGTCACTTCAAGGATACCATCCATCCATCTTGCCCTTGGTCGCCCCTCTTCCTTTTTCCTTCCATTTTCCCCAGCATCATTGTCTTCTCTAAGCTTTCCTGTCTTCTCATGATGTGGCCAAAGTACTTCAACTTTGTCTCTAGTATCTTTCCCTCCAGTGAGCAGTCGGGCTTTATTTCCTGGAGGATGGACTGGTTGGATCTTCTCGCAGTCCAAGGCACTCTCAGCACTTTCCGCCAACACCACAGCTCAAAAGCATCGATCTTCCTTCGCTCAGCCTTCCCTAAGGTCCAGCTCTCACATCCGTAGGTTACTACAGGGAATACCATGGCTTTGACTAGGCGGATCTTTGTTGCCAGTCTGATGTCTCTACTCTTCACTATTTTATCGAGACTGGACATTGCTCTCCTCCCAAGAAGTAAGCGTCTTCTGATTTCCTGGCTACAGTCTGCATCTGCAGTAATCTTTGCCCCTAGAAATACAAAGTCTGTCACGGCCTCCACGGTTTCTCCTTCTATTTCCCAGTTGTCAATCATTCTTGTTGCCATAATCTTGGTTTTTTTGACGTTTAGCTGCAACCCGGCTTTTGCGCTTTCTTCTTTCACCTTGATTAGAAGGCTCCTCAGCTCCTCCTCGCTTTCGGCCATCAGAGTGGTGTCATCTGCATATCTGAGGTTGTTAATGTTTCTTCCAGCCAATTTTCACCCCAGCTTTGTATTCATCAAGCCCGCACATCGCATGATGTGTTCTGCATACAAGTTAAAAAGGTTGGGTGAGAGGATGCACATATAATATTGTATACACATATAATATTGATAATAATAATATAATGTAAAACAATATAATATTAATAATAATGCAATAAAATAATTATATTTTTATATTACATGTAATATTACTAATAATATTACAGTATAATGGTATAGTACAATATGGGACAATATGGTATTAATATTGTGCTATGCTAAAACACAGTTTTATTGTGTTTTGGTATATTATTGCTTGTTGTTTTGTTGTTTAATATTGCTTTAATTGTTTTTAATTTGCTTTAGGTTTTGTATTGTTATGCTGGGTATTGAGGCCTTGGCCTTTGTAAGCCGCATCGAGTCCTTCGGGAGATGCTAGCGGGGTACAAATAAAGTTAATAATAATAATAATAATAATAGTATAATATATTGGGTTGTTGTAGGTTTTTTCTGGCTATATGGTCATGTTCTAAAGGCATTTTCTCCTGACGTTTCGCCTGCATCTATGGCAAGCATCCTCAGAGGTAGTGAGGACATAAATTAGACTGTTGGGTGTCTTGTGTCCAAATTTGGTGTCAATTCCCCCAGTGGTTTTTGAGCTCTGATGGTAGCACGAACTAACATTACATTTTTATTTATATAGATAATATATATATTATATTACATTCGTATTATAATATATATATATATATATATATATGTTATCCTATACTATAGTGCATTATTATTATTTTATTATAATACTAGCTTTGGGGACCCAGCGGTGCCCGGGTTATTAGAAGTTCATTCCAGGTCTGTCATTCGTGGGGGTCTCAGTGACCCGTGGAAACTGTGACATACATACATACACACATACGAACACTAACTTATTATATACTAGCTTGCGGACCTGGCAGTGTCCGGGTTATTTAAAAAAGGCATTACTTGTTTTGGGGTGAAAGATAGTATCATTTAATTAATTAGTTACACTATTTATTAGGAAAAAGCCAGTCTTTCATTTTGTTTTTTTATGAATGCCCCCATTAGAAAATGCATAGAGATGTGGGTGAACTACAATTCCCAGAATCGTGGGTCAGTCCTCCCCAAACCAGGCCTGTACGCATAGCTGGCCATGTTTGGTCAAGAGCCGTCATTGGTTGGGTTCAGTGCTCTCTGTATAAGGGTGAACTACACCTCCCAAAATCAAGGTCATTTCCCCCAAACCCCAGTAGTATATTTTTCTTATTTCTTCTCCTTCTTCTTCTTCTTTCCTCAATTCTTTGATCTGCATCCCTCAATTCTTCTGTGTCCTCTTATCTTCAGTCTATATATTGTATTTATTTATTTATTTATTTATTTACAGCATTTATATGCCACCCTTCTCACCCCGAAGGGGACTCAGAGCAGCTTACAATATATATTTTCATACAATATATTATATTATTAGCATAGTACAATATCAGTATTATATATTACTATATTGCACTATACCATTATATTGTAATATTATTAGTAATATTACATGTAATGTAAATATATAATTATAATATTGTATTATGATTACTAGAACTATATTGTATTACATTATAATATTATAAATATTATATGTATATACAATATACTATATTATTAGTAAAGACAAGATGGAAATGTCTTTAATAAATAAATGTATTATTTTTATATATCACTAGCTTGGGGACCCGACATTGCCCGGGTAATTTGAGAAAGGCATTGTGCGCCAAGGTTGGTCTTTATCAGTTATTTCTGTGGCTCGCAGTGCTCTCAGGAAGTTAGTGAAGGTACTGCGAGTCCCATAGTCCATGGTCCATCATCCTCCAAACCGCACCAGGATGTAGAGTGGGTCATGGGGGCTCTGTGTACCAAGTTCGGTCTTGATCAGTCACTGGATGAGGGTTGCAGCCGTCTCGGGAAGTGAGTGGATGTACTGCAAATCCCATCATCCATGGCCCACCCTCCTCCAAACAGCAGTGGGATGTAGAGTGGGTCATGGGGGCTCCGTGTGCCGTTTGGTCTTTATCCGTCTTTGTTGGGGGGAGCAGTAGTCTGTGGGAACAAAAAGGGGTGGGAAAGTACTACAAATCCCATTGTCCATCCTCCCCCAACCCTCACCAGGACTTAAAGAGGGTCATGGGGGTTATGTGTGCCAAGTTTGGTCTTGATTGGTCATGGGATGAGGGTCGCAGCGGTCTCGGGAAGTGAGTGGAGGTACTTCAAGTCCCATCATCCATGGTCAGCCCTTCTGAAAACTGCAGTAGGATGTAGAGTGGGTCATGGGTGCTCTGTGTGCCAAGTTTGTTCTTTATCGGTCTTTGTTGGGGGCCACAGTGGTCTGTGGGAACTGATGGTTTTAAAGTACTACAAATCCCATAATCCTTTGTCTGTCCTCCCCCAAACCTCACCAGGATGTAAAGGGGGTCATGGGGGTTATGTGTGCCAAGTTTGGTCCAGGTCTGTCACTTGTGCTGGGTACAGTGGCAGCCAATTAGAAAGCTGCTACATACACCGTCCTCCGCATACAAACACTGACTTTTATTATATAGATAGATTATATTACATTAGTATTATATTAGTATATTACAATACTATTATTATACTCTTTTATTGTATTATATCATACTGTATCGGTATTATTCTATTACATTAATATTTTTGTTATATTACATTAGTATTACTATTATTGTTGTTATTATTGACCCCTCTACAATCTCCTCTATCTTCAGTCAGTTCATTAGTCATTATTATTATATGTTATTATTATATCTCATTCTTTTATTTTATGTTTTTAAGGAGGAGGCGAGGGCCTACAGCAACCTGGGCAGTGCCTACCACTTCCGGCGCCAGTTTGACCGCGCCATGTCCTTTCACAACCGGGTGCTGGAGCTGGCCACACAGGCCGGGGACAAGGCCATGGAGATGCGTGCATTCGCTGGGCTTGGTCATGCTGCCCGCGGCCTCCACCACCTTGACCGTGCACTCGACTTCCACCAAAAGCAGATGCAGGCTGCCCAGGAGCTCCAGGACCGGGCCGCGCAGGGGCGCGCCGCCTCCAACCTGGGTATTATTATGTTATATTTTCTATTATTTTATTTTATTATTGTTATATTTCAGATGGTGTTATTATGTTATTAGTATTATAGGTCTAGGTGATGGTGTTCTTATTATTACTTTATATTATACTAGCTGTCCCCTGCCACGCGTTGCTGTGGCCCAGTCTGTTGATCTGGAAAATAAAGTAGTGAGAAAGTGTTGGTTTCTAATATACATCATTTCTTTCTGCTTGTGGGTAAACAGTATTTCTTGCTTTTTCTTTGTTAGTGTTGATGTGGAGAGTGTCTGGTTTGCCTACTCTGGAACATGGAACATATAATTGTGCTTCTTTAGGGGCCCTTTTCAAATCTATGATACTATATCTGTGTGTGTGTGAATCATATATATCTATCTATATCTATGGCTGGATGGCTCTTTGTCAGGAGGGCTTTGATTATGTTTTCTTGCCCTGGTGAAGGGAGTTGGACTGGATGGCCTTAAGTATTTTCTGTTGTTCATGGGGGTTCTGTGTGGGAAGTTTGACCCAATTCTGTTGTTGGTGGGGTTCAGAATGATCTTTGATTCTAGGTGAACTATAAATCCCCATAACTACAACTCCCAAATGTCAAGGTCTATTTCCCCCAAACGCCATCTGTGTTCATATTTGGGCATAATGAATATTCGTGCCAAGTTTGGTCCAGATCCCTCATTGTTTGAGTCCATGGTAGTCTCTGGATGTAGGTGAACTACAACTCCCAAACTCAAGGCTCACCAAACCCTTCTAGTGTTTTCTGTTGGTCATAGGAGTCCTGTATGCCTCGGTTGGTTCAATTCTATCATGCTATTTGATTTTAGGTGAACTATAAATCCCAGCAACTACAACTCCCTATCTATCTATCTATCTATCTATCTATCTATCTATCTATCTATCTATCTATCTATCTATATCTATGGCTGGGTGGCTCTTTGTCAGGAGGACTTCGATTAAATTTTCTTGCCCTGATGAAGGGAGTTGGATTGGATAGCCTTAAGTATTTTCTGTTGGTCATGGGGGTTCTGTGTGGGAAGTTTGCCCCAATTCTGTTGTTCGTGGGGTTCAGAATGCTCTTTGATTGTAGGTAAACTATAAATCCCAGTAAGTACAACTCCCAAATGTCAAGGTCTATTTCCCCCAAACTCCATCTGTGTTAATATTTGGGCGTATTGAGTATTCGTGCCAAGTTTGGTCCAGATCCATCATTGTTTGAGTCCACAGTGCTCCCTGGATGTAGGTGAACTACAACTCTCAAACTCAAGGTCAATGCCTACCAAACCCTTCTAGAGTTTTCTGTTGGTCATGGGAGTTCTGTGTGCCAAGTTTGATTCAATTCCACCGTGGATGGAGTTCAGAATGCTCTTTGATTGTAGGTGAACTATAAATCCCAGCAGCTACAACTCCCAAATGGCAAAATCCTATTTTTTGAGTGATGGTCACTCCTTGTGTTGTGAGACATTTTGTTGCCAAATTTGGTGTGTTTTCGTTCATTGGTTCTTTTGTTTTTAAGGTACTCATTATCCACAGAGCATTTATATATATATAGATTACTACATTATATTAGTATCATTATTATATACTGGTTTGGGGACACAACGATGCCCGGTTATTTGAAAAGGGCATTTGTCGGCTGGGTTCAGGGTGAACTCCAATTCCCATATGACAAGGTCAATCATATCCAAACCCCAACTGTATGCACAGTTAGCCATGTTGGGTCTGTGTGCCAAGTTTGGTTGAAATACAGCATCGGCGGGGTTCAGGCCTCTCTGGAGAAGGGTGAACTACAACTCTCAGATCCAAGGTCAGTCACCACCAAACCCTGCCTGTATGCACAGTAGGCACAGTGTGCCAGGTTAGGTCCAGATCTGACCTCAGCTGGGTTCAATGGTTTCTGTGTAAGGGTGAACTACCAATCCCCACATCATGGTCAATTCCAATAAACCCCTGCAGTATGTTCAGCTATTCATGAGTTTTCTCTGTGCCAGATTTAGTCACAGTCCATTGTTGGTGGGGGTCACAGTTTCTCTGGATGCAGATGAACAATAACTCCCTAAATCAATACATTTCCCCCAATGTTCTTTTTGGTCATGGGGAGTCTGTGTGCCAAGTTTGGCCCAGGTCCGTCATTCGTGTGGGTCGCAGTGGACTGTGGTAGTCGAATCAGATGAAGGTACTACAAATCTCATAGCCATCCTCCCCCAAACCACACCAGGACATATAAGTGGGTCATGGAGGGGTCTCTATGCTTAGTTTGGCCCTGGTCTGATTTTAGTGGGGGTTGCAGTAGTCCCTGGAAGTGAGTGAAAGTACTGCAAATCTCATCAATCCCAGATCTGTCATTGGTTGGGTTCACAGTGGTCTCTAGATGTGGATGAACTACAACTCCTATAAATCATGTTGAATTCTTCCCAAACCTCTTGTTCAGTTTCTGATCAATTCTTGTTTGCTGTGTGCCATAGGAAAGGGTTACAGGAGAGGCAGTGGGCGGGGGGTCATGCAAATTCCACACCAATGGAGACAGAAAGAAACCCTGGGATGTCCATTCTGGAGGGAAAAACAGAACATCTAGGATAAAATTGTCCCCAAGTGAAAGCCTTCACTTGTTGGCGGGCAGTATAGTGTTTGCGGAAGACATTGGCAGGGGTTGGGCTACATCAGTGTTTCTCAACCTGGGGGTCGCGAGAGGGTGTCAGAGGGGTCGCCAAAGACCATCAGAAAACATAGTATTTTCTGTTGATCATGGGGGTTCTGTGTGGAAAGTTTGGTCCGCTTCTATCGGTGGGGTTCAGAATGCTATTTTATTGTGGGTGAACTATAAATCCCAACAATTACAACTCCCAAATGGCAAGGTCTATTTTTCTCCAAACTCTACCAGTGTTCACATTTGGGCATATTGAGTATTTGTGCCAACTCCAGATCCATCATTGCTTGAGTCCACAGTGTTCTCTGGATGTAGGTGAACTTGTTGTTGTTCATTCGTTCAGTCGTCTCCGACTCTTCGTGACCTCATGGACCAGCCCACGCCAGAGCTCCCTGTCAGCCGTCACCACCCCCAGCTCCTTCAAGGTCAGTCCAGTCACTTCAAGGATGCCATCCATCCGTCTTGCCCTTGGTCGGCCCCTCTTCCTTTTGCCTTCCACTTTCCCCAGCATAATTGTCTTCTCTAGGCTTTGCTGTCTCCTCATGATGTGGCCAAAGTACTTCAACTTTGTCTCTAGTATCCTTCCCTCCAGTGAGCAGCCGGGCTTTATTTCCTGGAGGATGGACTGGTTGGATCTTCTCGCAGTCCAAGGCACTCTCAGAACTTTCCTCCAACACCACAGCTCAAAAGCATCGATCTTCCTTCACTCAGCCTTCCCTAAGGTCCAGCTCTCACATCCGTAGGTTACTACAGGGAATACCATGGCTTTGACTAGGCGGATCTTTGTTGCCAGTCTGGTGTCTCTACTCTTTACAACTACAACTCAAAAAAAACTCAAGGTCAATGTCCACCAGTGGACATTAACCCACTGTGCCACCAGCCTCCGGTGGTGCAGTGGGTTAAAGCCCTGTGCTGGCAGGACTGAAGACCGACAGGTCGCAGGTTCCAATCCGGGGAGAGGCGGATGATTTCCCTCTATCAGCTCCAGCTCCTCTTGCGGGGACATGAGAGAAGCTTCCCACAAGGATGATAAAAACATCAAATCATCCAGGCGTCCCCTGGGCAATGTCCTTGCAGACAGCCAATTCTCTCACACCAGGAGTCACTCCTGACACGACAAAAAAAATGTCCACCAGACCTTCCCAGTATTTTCTCTTGGTCATGGGAATTCTGTGTGCCCAGTTTGATTCAGTTCCATCATTGGTGGAGTTCAGAAGGCTCTTTGATTTTAGGTGAACTATAAAACCCAGCAACTCCAGCATTACCAAATGACCAAACCAATCACCCCCAACCTCACCAGTATTCAAATTTGAGCGTATTAGGTATTTGTGCCAAATAGGGTTCAGTGAATGAAAATACACCCTGCATATCAGATATTTAGATTACCATTCATAACAGTAGCAAAATTACAGTTGTGAAGTAGCAACGAAAATAATATTATGGTTGGGGGTCACCACAACATGAGGACCTGTACTAAGGGGCCGCGGCATTAGGAAGGTTGAGAACCACTGCGCTACATGTTCATGGTGCCCTCTGTAACCTGCAATGTCCTTGGAGGGAGTTCTTTTGGTGGCTCCTCAGCACTGTGGATTAAAGCTGTTTGTGGAGGCGGGAGGCTGTCTTTGTAGGTAAACACTTACACCACATACACACATACACATTACACACATACACATTTGTATAGATTTATTATTATTATTATTATTATTATTATTAATAATAATAATAATAATAATAATCTTTATTTATTACCCTGCCACCATCTTCCCCAATGGGGACTCGGAGCCACTTACATGAGGCCATGTCCAAATAACAATTACAGTTTTTTTTGTCGTGTCAGGAGCAACTTGAGAAACTGTAAGTCGCTTCTGGTGTGAGAGAATTGGCCGCCTGCAAGGACGTTGCCCAGGGGATGCCTGGATGATTTGATGTTTTATCATCCTTGTGGGAGGCTTCTCTCATGTCCCCGCATGAGGAGCTGGAGCTGATAGAGGGAGCTCATCCGCCTCTCCCCAGATTCGAACCTGCGACCTGTCGGTCTTCAGTCCTGCCGGCACAGGGCTTTAACCCACTGGCCCACCGGGGGCTCATTAACAATTACAATAAAAAAACCAAAAACACAAACCGAAAACATGAACAATAAACCATAACATCATAATTACATAAAACATATGAATAAATGACAATATAAAAAATAAAAATATGCACAGGCCCAATAATAATGGGCGGGCTACATGTAGTGATTAAAAGGACAAAGAGATTAAAACTAATTAAAGACTCAGGTGAGATAAAAAAGGGAAGCAGGTAATTTATGGAGGAGGAGGGCTCACTTTAGTGGGAGTTGTGGATTCAAGCTTTCCCATGAGGGGGGACGTATATATGGTAATAATATTACTATTATTGCATTATTTACATTCTTTATACTATTGTTTATTATATTAATATATTTATTATAATGTTAGATTTGTTATTATGTTTATTACTATTATTCTCTCCTTTGCAGGGATCCTTCACCAGATGCAGGGGGATTTCCAGGGGGCGCTGCGCTTGCACCAGACCCACTTGGCAGTGGCGCAGGAGCTGTCGGACTACGCTGCACAGGGGCGCGCTTTTGGCAACATGGGCAATGCTTACAGCGCTCTGGGCCTGTTTGAGGACGCACTGCGTTTCCACCGTCAGGAGCTGCAGATCTCCCTGGAGGTGGGCGACCGCCCTTCACAGGCCGCCACCCACGGAAACATGGCTGTCGCCTACCAAGCCTTGGGTGCCTTTGACCGTGCGCTGCAGCATTACCGCAACCATCTCAACATTTCCCGCGAATTGCGTGATACTCACAGCGAATCCCGCGCCTTGGCGAATCTGGGCAACTTCTATTGCTCCCGTAATGAATTTTCCGAAGCTGTCCCTTACTACGAGTCTTATCTCCAATTGGCGCCCGATTTGCAAGATATGGAAAATGAAGGAAAGATTTGCCACAATCTTGCTTACGCGCATTACGCGCTCGGGAATTATCATGATGCCGTGAAATACTATGAAATGGATCTCGCTTTGGCGAAGGACCTCGACGATAAATTAAGCCAAGCCAAAGCTTATTGTAATTTAGGATTGGCCTACAAAGCGTTGTCCAACGACCTCAAGGCAGAGGAATGCCAGAAGCACTTCCTGTCTTTGTCACTCGGCAATGCAACAGCGAAATTCCGTGCATTGGGTAATTTAGGTGATATTGCGATGGATCGCAAGGATTACCACGGAGCAATTAAACTCTATGAAGAACAATTAGATGTGGGAATCCAAGATGGCCGCCGTTGCCTCGAAGCCGCGGCGTATGCCTCATTAGGATCGGCATATCGCGCATTGAAAGAATACGACAAAGCAATGGGATATTACAACAGGGAATTAGAGGCCTATCAAGAGGCTTCGGACGTGGCCGGAGAGTGTCGCGCTGATGCGCATTTGGCCTCAATCTACATCGCGTTGGGGAAATACAATATGGCGTTCAAGTGTTATGAGGAACAACTCGAATTGGCGCGAGGGTTGCAGGACGTCGAAGGTGAAGCTCGTGTCTACGGGAATATGGGGATAACGAAGATGAACGCTGCAGCACATGAGGAAGCCATTGGTTATTTCGAAAGGCAATTGGCCACATTGCAACAACGCGCCGGGACGCAGGCAACACTGGACCGAGGCCGGGCCTATGGACACTTAGGGGATTGCTACATGGCGATGGGAGACTTCGAGGAGGCCGCACGGCATTACGAGAAATACCTCTCGGCCGCACAGAGCCTCCAGCGCGCTGATGAGCAGGAGAAGGCCTACTGCGGGCTGGGCGCAGCACACAGGTCGGAGTCATGTTATATCATATTGTTATATTATTATTGTTATAGTTAAGTTATTATTTATATTCTTGTTTTATTATTGTTTATATTATATTATAGTTGGTATATTATTATTATATATATTATATTATTATCTACCGAAAGCTGGATGCAGCACACAGTTCGGGGTCATATTATATTATTATATATAATATAATAAATTTGTATTGTTATATTATATTACATAGTATAATATAGTAATACTAATTTATTATATTATATTGGTATTATTATCATGGAGCCCGCGGTGGCGCAGTGGGTTGAACCCCTGTGCCGGCAGGACTGAAGACCAACAGGTCGCAGGTTCGAATCCGGGGAGAGGCGGATGAGCTCCCTCTATCAGCTCCAGCTCCTCATGCAGGGACATGAGAGAAGCCTCCCACAAGGGTGATAAAAACATCAAATCATCCAGGCGTCCCCTGGGCAACGTCCTTGCAGATGGCCAATTCTCTCACACCAGAAGCGACTTGCAGTTTCTCAAGTCGCTCCTGACACGACAAAAAAAAAAAAATATTATCAACATGCCAATAAGCAGGAGAAAGCCTACTGCAGGCTAATACTTAAATTATTATTATATTATTGTTTAAATTATTATTTATATTATTATATTACTATAGTATATTAGGAGAAGGCCTACTATAGTCTGGGCGCAGCACACAGGTCGGTGTCATTATACTATATTAGTACTGTTATTTTTATTATTATTTATATTATTATATTTATTATTTATATTATTTTACTATATTACGTTATATGACATTTTATTATATTTATATTATTATTTATATGACTATTATTACTGGATTATAAATTATAATATTATTATATATTGTATTATACAATAATGTATTATACATTGTTTTATTTATATTATTCCATTATTACTATTTTATGTTATACTATATCCTATATTATTTTTATTATATTATCGTTACTGTTATTGCTATTATATTATAATATTATACTATATATTATTATTGTTGTTATTATTGTATATTAGGAGAAGGCCTACCACAGGCTGGGCGCAGCACACAGGTTGGAATCATATTATAATATATTATTATATATAATAAATTAGTATTACTAATATTATATTAGTACAATTATATTATTATAAACGCTCCAATGAGCAGGAGAAGGCCTACTGCGGGATGGGCGCATCACACAGATTGAGGTCATATAGGTCACCCTATATTAGTACTCTAACATTATTATTATATTTTTATTTTACTGACACGGAAACACAGTATGTCACAGCAAATGAGACCTATATGTTGGATTTTATTATTATTATTATTATATTTATTGTAGGAATATTATTTTTTATATTATAGTATAGTATATTTTTGGAGAAGGCCTAGCGTGGGCTGGATGCAGCACACAGATTAGAGCCATGTTGCATTATATTAGTACTATTTTATTAATCTTATATTTATTGTTATAATTATATTATTGTTTGTATTAATCTTACTTTATTTGTATTACACTATTTATTATTATTTTTCCCTTCTCTCCCCTGCCTTCTCTCCTCTGTCTTTTTATTATTATTATTATTATTATTATTATTATTATTATTATTATATTAATATTATTTTCTCCCTCTCCTTCAGATCTGTCTCTTATATTAGTATTAGTATTATATAGTATGATAGTACAATATAGTAACATATCATAATAATATTGTGCTGCACTAATAATATAATATATTGTATACACATATAATATTGATAATAATAATATAATGTAAAACAATATAATAATAATAATAATAATAATAATGCAATAAAATAATTATATTTTTATATTACATGTAATATTACTAATAATATTACAGTATAGTGGTATAGTGCAATATGGGACAATATGGTATTAATATTGTGCTATGCTAATAATATAATATATTGGGTTGTTGTAGGTTTTTTCAGGCTATATGGTCATGTTCTAAAGGCATTTTCTCCTGACGTTTCGCCTACATCTATTTATTATTTATTTATTTATTTACGACATTTATATGCCGCCCTTCTCACCCCGAAGGGGACTCAGAGCGGCTTACAAGGTATATATACATACAATATATTATTAACATAGTACAATATCAGTTTTAAATATTGCTATATTGCATTATATCAATTATACTGTAATATTATTAGTAATATTACATGTAATATAAATATATAATTATAATATCATATTATTATTACTAGTATTATATTGCATTACATTACAGAGGTAGTGAGGATGCTTGCCATAGATGCAGGCAAAACGTCAGGAGAAAATGCCTTTAGAACATGGCCATATAGCCCGAAAAAACCTACAACAACCCAGTGATTCTGGCCATGAAAGCCTTTGACAATATAATATATTGTATTTACATATAACTCATTAGCCACTCTGAGTCCCCTTCGGGGTGAGAAGGGCGGCATATAAATGTCATAAATAAATAAGTAAATTAATTAATTTATATTATTATGTTATTATTGTTATTGTATTATATTATTATTATTCTCCCTTTTCTCTCACTGGTCTCTGGGCAGCCTGTCCTAGTCTCTTACTATATATTTTATTATTGTTGTTACTATATTAATATTATTCTCTCCCTTCTCTTTTGCAGGTCCCTGGGCAGCCTGTCACAGTCTCTGGTGTGCCTGGAGAAGCGACTGGTGTGTGCCTTCGAGGGGGGCTCCCTGGCATCCAAGGCGGAGGCATATGGGGAGCTGGGCCAGGCGCATGGCCTGCTGGGCAACCTGGATGCAGCTGCCTCCTGTCTGGAGCACCAGCTGTCCTTGGCGCAAGAGCGTGGCGATCGCCTGGCAGAAGGCAGTGCTTCACAGGCACTGGGAGCACTGCTACGTCGACGGGGGGATGCTCGGGGGGCACTTGCCCTGTGTGGAGCTGGGCTGCGGGCAGCCGAGGAGGCAGGCGATGCGGGTGCGCAGGGCCGCGCGTACGCCGAGATGGGCCTAGCTTATGAAGCGCTTGGGGACCTCACCCGTGCCCTCTGCGCACACGAGCAGCGCCTCAGCCTGGCCGCACAGACCGGTGACCTCCCCGACAAGGCCGCTGCCTATGCCAGCCTCGGCCGTGCCCACCACGCTTTGCGCAACCACTGCCAGGCTGTCATGTACCTCCAGGAAGGTAAGCAAGAGACAGGGCGAACAGTGGGCGCAATATGGCGCTCAGCGGGAGGTCACCCTTGAGGGGGAAACTGTGTTATCGGTCTCAAGAGTGGACTGGCTTAGGCGGGGGGGGGGGGGGGATGTAAGAATGTAATAGTATTTATATTATATATAGGAAGGTGAGGTAAGGGAGTTGGTGTAATGTAATCACATCAATGCTGCTATTACCACCCCCCCCCCAATGGGGGGGACGGTGTTATCGGTCCTGAGAATGGATTGGATTGTGGGGATAATATAATAATGTAATATGACATAACATAATATAATATAAGAATGTGATAATACAAAATAATATAAAAGTAAAAAGTAAATAAAATAATATATAATATAAAATGTAATAATATAATAATTAGCAATACAACATGAGTGGTCAATACTATTACCACCCTTGGGGGGGGGCAGTTTTATCAGTCCTGAGATAGGAGTGGATGGGTGGGTGGATGGGTGGGTGGGTGGGGGGGGGATAATATAAAACAACATAATATAGTATAATACAAAACAATATGATACAATACTGTAATAATATAATATGATGCAATACAATACAATAGCATATAATAATGTAATAATGTAATCAGATGTAGTAATATAATATAATATAATAATAAACAATATAATATGGGATGTCAATACTACCATGCTCAGGCCATCATGTATCTCCATGAAGGTGAGGAGGCATGGGAGTAAGCGTAATATTTTATATTATTAAAACACTATATTCTATCTTAATTATATAATATTTTATATTATATTATGTTATGTTATAATATTTTATTACATAATTATTATAATATAATTATAACATAAAAATTATAATATTTTATTTTATATTATATTATTATATTCCATTAAAATATACTGTGGAATTATGTTGGATTGGGCAGATAATATAATAATGTAATATAATATAATATACAGGCTGTCATGTGCCTCCAGGAAGGTAAGTGAGAGCGCAGCGGGGGCAATATAGCATTCGGTATGGTGCTCAATGGGAGGTCCATACTATTACCACCCTCGAGGGGTGAGTGAGAGGATGGCGGGGGCAATATTTGATGATATTATGTTGTATTTATTATATTATGTTAGTGTATTTTATAGCATTATGAAACATTTTATTTTGTTACATTATTGGTGGAGAGACCAGTGAAAGAGTCGAGGGGTCGAGTGACAACCGACTACTCCCAAGGGGGTGGAGTGACCAGTCAAAGGGAGTCAAGGGGTGGAGTGACCACTGACTGCTCCCAAGGGGTGGAAATTTTTTTTTTTGTCGTGTCAGGAGCGACTTGAGAAACTGCAAGTCGCTTCTGGTGTGAGAGAATTGGACGTTGCCCAGGGGACGCCCGGATGATTTGATGTTTTTATCATCCTTTTTGGGAGGCTTCTCTCATGTCCCCGCATGAGGAGCTGGAGCTGATAGAGGGAGCTCATCCGCCTCTCCCCGGATTCGAACCTGCGACCTGTCGGTCTTCAGTCCTACCGGCACAGGGGTTTAACCCACTGCGCCACCGGGGGCTCCGGCTAGGGGTGGAGTGACCAATTGAAATGGGTCAAGGGGTGGAGCGACCACTGACATGTAGTGACTAGTGGAAGGATCAAGGGATGGAGTGACCACTGATTGCTCCCAAGGGGGTAGAGTGACCAGTGAAAGGGATCTAGGTGTCTGCTCTCAAGGGGGTGGAGTGGCCACTTACTGCTCTATTATAATTGTGATTCCTCTAGGGCTGTGCCTGGGGTGGAGTGACCAGTTGAAGGGGGTCAAGGGGTGGCGCGACCACTGACATGGAGTGACTACTGAAAGGGTCAAGGGGTGGAATAGCCACTGACCTCTCCCAAGAGTGTGGAGTGACCAGTGAATGGGGTCAAGGTGTCCACTTCCAAGGGGGTGGAGTGTCCGCTGACCATCCCCATTATTATTATTGTGATTCCTCCTCCAGGGCTGCGCCTGGCGGAGCAGCTGGGCCTGCGGGAGGACGAGGCCCGGATCCGCCACGGACTGGGCCTCTCCCTGTGGGCCAGCGGGAACCTGGAGGAAGCCCAACACCAGGTAGGTAAACAAAACAAACAAACAGGATGTGGGTGGGGCCTGGTCAGGAAGTGGGTGGGCAGATGAATGGTGGAAGAGAGTGTGGCGGAGGTGGGGGGCACCCCCAGACCTTCTCTGTGTTCTGATGGGTCCGTAACGCTGACCTTTCCTTTTCCTCCCTTTCCTCTTGCACAGCTATACGGGGCGTGTGAGCTCTTTGAGGGCATCCGGCGGGGTTCTGGCCTGAGCAGCGACTTCCGGGACTCGCTCTTCAGCCTCCAGGCCTCCAGCTACCGAGCCCTGCAGCGCGTCCTGGTCGCTCGCGGTATGTCAAGGGTCATGGGTCATCAGAGGGAGGAAGCGAATGGATGGATGGGGATAGATAGATAGATATGATGGAGGGTTAGATAGATGGAATAGATGATACATGAATGGAGAGATCAATGTGTGAATGTGTGAATAAATGGATGGATAGCTAGATGAATGGATAGGTAGGTAGATAGACATGTAGGTAGATGGATGGATAGATAGATGGATGGATAAATTAATCAATAGACTCGATAGAGCAGCGTTTCTCAACCTGGGAGTTGCGACCCCCAGGGGGGTCATTCGGCCTTTTCTGAGGGGTCATTGGGCCCCTCCCCCTCCCCAAAATGGCTGCCTGGCTTTTCTGCAGCCTCAGATCAAAACATGTCAAGTCAACCGGGACCGCCTTCCATCTGGAAACTGATGTCCTCAATGCAGGAGAACATGCAGATCAAGAACAGGGATCCACAGCCACCTACGGACCCACCACCAGTCCACAATCCTAGATCCATAGAGGGAATGGAGAGATAGATGAATGAATAGTTGGGTGGATAGATGGAAAGATAGATGGAGGGAGGTAATGAATAGATAGAATAGATTGATATGGATGGATGGATGGATGGATGGATGGATGGATAGATAGAGGGAAGAAGGGAGGGGATGGATGGATGGATATGTCCTGGTCACCCATGGTGGGTCAAGGGTCATTGCGTGTTGTCTTATTGATAATGTTGTATATTTTATTGTCTATGTTTTATTTTAATTGCTTGTTCTGTTGTTGTTCTGCTTGTATTGTTGTATTTGGGCTCGGCCTCATGTAAGCCGCAGCAAGTCCCTTGGGGAGATGGTAGCGGGGTACAAATAAAGTGTTGTTGTTATTATTATTATCATCATTCAGTTCTTGTGGGTTTTTTCGGGCTATATGGCCATGTTCTAGAGGCATGGCCATATAGCCTGAAAAAAACCCACAAGAACTGAGTGATTCCAGCCATGAAAGCCTTCAACAATACATTATTATTATTATTATTATTATTATTATTATTATTATTATTATTATGGAGGGAAGGAATGAGGGGATGGAGGGATGGATGGAGGGTTGGAATGGATAGATGGATGGAATAGATGATGGATGGATGGTGAGATAATAAAAATAGAGGGAAGGGATAGATAGATAGATAGATAGATAGATAGATAGATAGATAGATAGATAGATAGATAGATAGATAGATATAAAAAATCAGTTACCCAAGATAGATAAATTGATAGATAAATGGATGGATAGATCAATGGAGAGATAGATAAATGCATGGATGGATGGATGGGTAGGTAGGTAGGTACATGAATGGATAGATGGCTAGATAGAATAAGTAGGTAGGTAGGTAGGTAGATATAATAGGTAGATAGAGGGAAGAAATGGATAGATGGATTGATAGATAGATTATATTTTTTTGTCGTGTCAGGAGCGACTTGAGAAACTGCAAGTTGCTTCTGGTGTGAGAGAATTGGCCGTCTGCAAGGACGTTGCCCAGGGGACGCCTGGATGATTTTTGATGTTTTATCATCCTTGTGGGAGGCTTCTCTCATGTCCCCGCATGAGGAGCTGTAGTTGATAGAGGGAGCTCATCCGCCTCTCCCCGGACTCGAACCTGTGACCTGTCGGTCTTCAGTCCTGCTGGCACAGGGGTTTAACCCCCTGCGCCACCGGGGACTCCATTGATAGATAGATGAATGGATAGATTTGGGACCATCCTACCTGCATGACCGCATCTCCATTTATGAACCCACGCGTTCACTTCGTTCATCCGGAGAGACCCTGCTCGTGATTCCACCTGCGTCACAGGCGCGTTTGGTGGGGACGCGTGACAAGGCCTTTTCTGTGGTGGCCCCCAACTCTGGAACACCCTCCCCAAAGATCTTAGACAGGCCCCTACATTGGCAGTCTTTAGAAAGAACTTGAAGACCTGGCTGTTCCGATGCGCCTTTCCAGAATAGGAAACTCCAATAACAAGTCCCAGAAGCACTTTCGTAGATTGTAGCATACTGCACTTACCCTATAATCCTTACATATTACCTGTCACATCAGCACTTTTAATCTTGTACCCATTACTCTGGCCTGGCCCAGTTTTATAATATCTTGATGTATTGTTTATTGCTTGTTTAATATTGCTTTAACTGTTTTTAATTTGCTTTAGGTGTTGTATTGTTGTGTTGTGTTTTGAGGCCTTGGCCTATGTAAGCCGCATCGAGTCCTTTGGGAGATGCTAGCGGGGTACAAATAAAGTTAATAATAATAATAATAATAATAATAATAATAATAATAATAGATAGATAGAAAGAAAGAAGAGATAGATTTATTTATGTATCGTGTTTATCGTGTCATCAGCAACCATTGTATTACAATTCTAACAGAGCAAAACAAACACACAGATTAAAAAGAAAAAGGAAAAAAACACACAGATTTTGCAAATTTGGTATTTGGTTAAATGTCCTTTGACCAGTATCTGGCCACTTGGAGTGCCTCTGGTGTTGCCGCAAGAAGGTCCTCCATTGTGCATGTGGCAGGGCTCAGGGTGCATTGCAGCAGGTGGTCAGTGGTTTGCTCTTCTCCACACTCGCATGTCGAGGATTCCACTTTGTGGCCCCATTTCTTAAGATTGGCTCTGCATCTCGTGGTGCCAGAGCGCAGTCTGTTCAGCGCCTTCCAAGTCGCCCAGTCTTCTGTGTGCCCAGGGGGGAGTCTCTCATTTGGATTGAGGTGCTGGGTTTGGGCCTGCCACTTTTGGACTCTCGCTTGCTGGGGTGTTCCAGCGAGTGTCTCTGTAGATCTAAGAAAACTATGTCTTGATTTAAGTCGTTGACGTGCTGGCTGATACCCAAACAGGGGATGAGCTGGAGATGTCTCAAGAGATAGATGACCTGAGATAGATGACCTGATAGTCTTTGAGGAAAACATAGAATTTAATCGGGAAAAATATTAGAAAGAAGAGATAGATGCTTATGAATATCTGGCCCTTTATGGCCACTCCAACCCTTCTTTCCCATGACCACAGGCCACTCTGCGGAGGCCCTGGGCGTGGCGGAGCGCAGCCGGACACGGGCCTTTGCGGACCTCCTGCTGGAGCGCCAGGGGGCGGGGCCCAAGGAGGAACAGGCGGGGCCTCTGTCTCCAATTACAACAGAAGGCGTCCTGGAGGCAGTCAACGGCCAGAGGGGGCTGGTCCTCTACTACTCACTGGCCACAGGGACACTCTACTCATGGCTCATTGCCCCCGGAGAAGGTTGGTCTATTTTTATTATTATTATTATATTACTATATCATTGAATTATCATTATTATTATTAATATTATTATCATTATTAATATATTATCTATATTATCAATAGTATTTTTAATATATTATTATTTTTTAGTCTCCTATATTATTATTGAATCTTAGTCTCGCCCTTATTATTATTAATATTACCAATATTGTTAATATATTATTACTAGCCGTCCCCTGCCACGCGTTGCTGTGGCCCAGTCTGGTGATCTGGAAAATAAAGTAATGAGAAAGTGTTGGTTTCTAATATATGCAATTTCTTTATGCCTGTGGGTAAACAGTATTTCTTGTTGTTTCTTAGTCCATTTTGGTCCATATACTTGTTATAGTCTAACTTAAACTATTGTATGTTTGTTTGTACTGCAAAAACTTCTAAATATCTTTAATGGAGCAGTATCAAATTTGGTCCCATACATGCTTTGTAGTCTAACTTAAAATTATTGGGGCTTTTTGAGCCCAAACTCCACCCCGTTTTGAATTAGGACCCTAAATACGAATAAGTAAATACATATGTTTGTTTGTTTTTAAAAACCCCCTATATATCTTTAATGGATTGGGACCAAATTTGGTCCATATATTGGTTATAGTTTATGTTAAAATTATTGAGGCCTTCCAAGTACAAACTCTGCATAAATAGGTTCGTTCGTTTGTTTGATCTATATATCTCTGCATCGGGACCAAATTTGGTCCATACATCTGTTATAGTCTAAAATTAGTGGGGTATTTTGAGTCCGAACTCCATTTCATTTGGAATTAGGACCCGAAATACAAATAATTAGGTACACATATATGTTCCACAAAAATTTCTATATATCTTTGAGGGATTGAGACCAAATTTGGTCCGTATATTGTTTGCAGTCTAACTTCGTTTGGGATTGGGATCCCAAAAATGACTCGATCTTGTACTTTTTTTGTTCCAGGGATCCTGAAGTTCAATGCCTGCTTTCTGGGGGAGGAAGGGGAGGAGCTTTCAGAAGGCCCTGCCCCTTCCTCCACTTTGGAGCAACTCATTGCTGGCGCCCGGAAAGAACTCGGAGTGGATGCCGGACCTTCCTCCTTTGCACAGCGGTCAGTAGATAATATATATATATAAAATACCTATGGATTTCCTCTTCCTTCTCTCTTCCTGACTTCCTACTTCCTTTCTTTCCAGAGATATGGACAGCGAGTCTTCCTCCTTCGAGGAAATGGGCAGCCGACCTCTGACCCCAACAACAAACTCTGATCCCAACAACTTTTTCCGGATGGTCAGCCGGAACAACCTCCTCAACAGGTCAGGTCAATACAATACAACAAGAATGAATTATTATTGTTATTATTATTATTATTATTTTCATATTATTTATATTTCTTTCATTATTCATATTATATTGTATTATTTTATATATTATTTTCATATTATTTCATATTATTCTTTTATTCTATATTGATTGTATCATTTTATATTATTATTTGTTTTATTATATTCTTAATTCTTTTGTTATATTATTTGTTTTATTATTTTCATATTATTTTATTATTATTTCTTTCTATTTAGATTTCTTTCTTTATAGTCACATTATTTTTGTATTATTATTTCTTTATATTTTTATTATTTTGTAATTTATTATTATCATTACATATTTCTTATATTGTTTTAAATAATTATTTGTTTTATTATTTCTTTATATTTATATTTCTTTTATTTTCATGTTATTTTTTATTTATATTATTAAATGAATATTATTATTTTCATATTACAATTTTTATATTATTTATTTCTTCTATTCTTATATTATCATATCTTTCTTGTATTATTTTATATTATTATTTGTTTTATTATTGTCATATTATTCCTGTCATTAATAATAATGTATCATTATTATATTTATATTATTTTATATTACTATTACTATTACATTTATTGTTATATTTTGCTATATATATTTATCATAATATTATTTTGTATTATTATGCTTTATTATTATATTTTTATTATGTTGTAGTTATTATAATATAGATATTTTATTATGTTACTATATTATATTATATTTCATTGTAATATTATAATATTAATTTGTATTATTATAATTTATTATATATTTTATTTTATATTGATTATTATATTATATTTAATTATTTTATATATTATATTTATAATATTTTCTATTATATTTTATTATTATTATATCTATTTTATTTTGCATTATTATTATTATTATATTTTTGCGCAGGAATTGCCAGAGCATGACAAGCCTCTGCAGTAGCAGCAGCAATAGCAGTCCAGTCTGTCCGTCAAAGGAAGGGACGGGAACTTCCTCTCTGCCCCGGAGTCCCACTTCCTCGTCCAAGGTCCCGCCTCTCCGCGCTCTCTACGATCTCCTCATCGCACCCATGGAAGGAGTGAGTAGCCTTTCACTTTAACAATATATAATAAAATTATAATAGTATGATAAAGAAATAATATTATATTAATATATTAATATGCTAATGAAAGTATTATTAATATGATAATGAAACTATTACAGTAATAGCAGTTCAAAAACATGCAAATGTGAGTAGATCAATAGGTACAATATTATAAATATATATTTTATATTACATGGCGGGAAGGTAACGGCGCTCCATGTAGTCATGCTGGCCACATTACCTTGGAGGTGTCTACAAACAACGCCAGCTCTTCTGCTTAGTAGTGGAGATGAGCACCAACCCCCAGAATCGGGCACAACTGGACTTAATGTCAGGGGAAAACCTTTACCTTATATAATAATAATAATAATAATAATAATAATAATAATAATTATTATTATTATTATTATTATTATTATTATTATTATTATTATTATTATTATTATTATTATTATTATACAATTGGAGCCTCTGGTGGTGCAGTAGGTTAAACCCTTGTGTCAGCAGGACTGCTGACTCACAGGTCAGCAGTTTGAATCTGGGGAGAGTGGCGTCCCCTGTATTGTCCCCTGGGACATGTCCTTGCAGACTACCAATTCTCTCCCACCAGAAGCAACTTGCATTTACTCCAGTTGCTCCTGACACAAAAAAAAAGTGGGATGGAACCTTGGCTCCAAGTGGAGACTCCAAAGAAGAATTCAGATTATCATTATTGTTATTATTTCTCTTTATAGGGCCTGATGCCATCATGTGGTCAGTTCCAGCGACATTTGACCCTTGTCCTGGAGGGTGACCTCTTCCTGGTGCCCTTTGCCCTCCTCAAAGGAAGTGCTTCCAATGAGTTCCTGTATGAACGATTCACCCTCATCACCGTCCCCTCCATCCACGCCCTGACCTGCAACAACAAGGTGTGTTTGTTTATTTGTTTGTTCCGCAAAAACTCCTATTTATCTTGAATGGATCGGTACCAAATTTGGTCCATATATGCATTATAGCCTAACTTAAAATTGTAGGTGTCTTTCTAGCCCCAAACTTCATTCTGTTTATGATTAAGACCCCAAAAAGGAATCAATCTGTACATTTGTTTGTACCACAAAACCTCCTATATATCTTTAATGGATCGGGACCAAATTTGGTCCATATATGCATTATAGCCTAACTTAAAATTGTAGGTGTCTTTCAAGCCCCAAACTTCATTCTGTTTATGATTAGGACCCCAAAAAGGAACCAATCTGTACATTTGTTGTACCACAAAAGCTCCTATATATCTTTAATGGATCGGGACCAAATTTGGTCCATATATGCTTTATAGTCTAAATTAAAATTAATGTACAAATAATGTATAAATAATATATGTTTATTCGTTTGTACTGCAAAAGCTCCTGTATAACTTTGACAGATTGGGACCGAATTTGGTCCATATGTTTGTTATAGTTGTTTGTTGTTATTGGAGTGCATTCCCCCCATAGGAAAGTTTTGCTCCACGACCTCCACTAAAACGAGCTCTCCTCCGCAAATAATCTGTCCATGTTTATCTCGCCTGAGTTTTTAATCTGTTTATACCCAGTTTTCTTTTATCCATTACATGTAGCTCGCCCATGTTACCGTGATTGTGTTTATTGTGTTTATTGTAATTTTATATTGCTATGTTGTCTTTCATTTTATGTCATTGCGTTATTATTGTTTATTATTTCCGTTTTCGGTTTTGTTTTATTTCATGTAATTGTTGTTTTGGGCTTGGCCTCATGTAAGCCGCACCGAGTCCCCATTGGGGAGATGGAGCGGGGTACAAATAAAATACATGGCCCTATAGCCCGAAAAAACCTACAAGAACCATTATTATTATTATTATTATTATTATTATTATTATTATTATTATTATTATATAGTCTAACTTAAAGTTAGTGCTGTCTAGTGCGGTCCATTCCATTTGGAATTAGAACTTCAAAAATGAATAAATCTGTACATACCTCTGAGGATGCTTGCCATAAATGCAGGCGAAACGTCAGGAGAAAATGCCTCTAGAACATGGCCATATAGCCCGAAAAAAACCCACAAGAACCTAGTGATTCCAGCCATGAAAGCCTCCGACAATACATAATCAGTACATATATTTGTTTGTACTCCAAAAGCTCCTATAAGTCTTTGAGAAATTAGGAACAAATGTGGTGCGTATATGCGTTATAGTCAAACTTAAAATGATTGGGTACTTTCAAATACATAGTCCACTAGGTTTGGGACCTGGGCCCCGAAAACTAATAGATATCTCCTTTCTCTCTTCCAAAGAAGGTGACTCCGCCACCGCCTTGTTCTTCGTCTTCCGCGTTGGTGGTGGCCAACCCGTCCCTCCCGCCCTCTGTGCGCTCTCAATGGCTGTGGGGCCCGATGCCGGCGGCTGAAGCAGAGGCGTTGACCGTGGCCGAAACCTTGGGCTGCACGGCCTTAACTGGCGCGTCTGCCACGAAAGAACGCGTCATGGCTGCCATGCCCAGTGCTGAATGCCTCCACTTTGCCACCCATATCTCCTGGAAACTGACCGCCATTGTTTTGGCCCCGAACGCATCTGAAGGGTCGGCCTACACCATTCCAGATAATGAGGAAGAGGAAGAGGAAGCGGTCCATACGCATGACTTCCTGCTAACGGCAGCAGACATATTGACACTGAAACTGCAGGCCAAGCTGGTGGTGCTAGGCTGCTGGCCGGAGTCATCATCGGCTGCCGGACAGTTGACCGCGGATGGGGTGGTCGGCCTGAGCCGGGCCTTCCTGGCGGCCGGTGCCCAGTGCGTCCTGGTCCAGCTCTGGCCGGTGACCGCTGAGGCCTCCACTGCCTTTGCCGCGGGATTCTACGGGGCCCTTGCCGGTGGTGGAATGGCGCGTGGAGGGGGCAGGGTGGCCGCCAGTGCCGCCCTGGTCGAAGGCATCAAGGCCGTCCAGCGGAGGAGGGCAACCACCACCGCCAAGGGGAGTGACCACCCGGCTTCACAATGGGCAGGTCAGTCATACAATCTATATAAATAAAAATGTAATGTTCGTTTGTGGGATTAACAGAACTCAAAAACCACTGGACGAATTGACACCAAATTTGGACACAAGACACCTAACGACCCAATGTATGTCCGTCACTCAAAAAAAAATGATTCTGTCATTTGGGAGTTGTAGTTGCAGGGATTTATAGTTCACCTATAACCAAAGAGCATTCTGAACCCCACCAACGATGGAATTGAACCAAACTTGGCACACTGTTCTCCCATGACCAACAGAAAATACTGGAAGTGTTTGGTGGGCAGTGTCTTTTGGTTTTGGAGTTGTAGTTCACCTACATCCAAAGATGACTGTGGACTCAAACAGTGATGGATCTGGACCAAACTTGGCACGAATACTCAATATGCCCAAATGTGAACACTCGTGGAGTTTGGGGGAAATAGAATCTTGACATTTGGGAGTTGTGGTTGCTGGGATTTATAGTTCACCTACAATCACATAGCATTCTGAACCCCACCAACGATGGAATTGAACCAAACTTGGCACACAGTTCGACCATGACCAACAGAAAATACTGGAAGGATTTGGTGGGCAGTGTCCTTTGGTTTTGGAGTTGTAGTTCACCTACATCCAAAGATGACTGTGGACTCAAACAATGATGGATCTGGACCAGACTTGGCACAAATACTCAATATGTCCAAATGTGAACACTGGTGGAGTTTGGGGAAAATAGAACCTTGGTATTTGGGAGTTGCAGTTGCTGGGAATTATAGTTCACCTACAGTCAAAGAGCATTCTGAACCCCACCAACGACAGAATTGGGCCAAACCTCCCACACAGAACCCCCATGTGGGCCACAGCAACGTGTGGCAGGGGACAGCTTTATAATAATAATAATAATAATAATAATAATAATAATAATAAGCCAGTCAGGGTGGTCCCAGTGGTGATCAGCACACTGGATGCAGTGCTTAAAGACCTTGGCCTGCACTTAAACACAATCGGTGCTGACAAAATTACCATCTGTCAGCTGCAAAAGGCTCGGATCTGCACGCATTATTCGCCGATACATCACACAGTCCTAGACACTTGGGAAGTGTTCCATGTGTGATCCAATACAACAACCAGCATAGTGATCTTGTTTGCTGTGTACTAATCTTATTGTGTTTCAAATAATAATAATACAATATTATAATGTAATAGGATATAGATATAACACAGTAAATGTTATAATGGGATATAGAATAATGATAATATTTATTTTTATTACTTATAATAAAATTATATATTATAATAAATATATAACTAATAAAATAAATATTTTATTATTTATAATAAAAGTATATTATGTTATAATAAAATGTTTATTATTATCTGGAAAAAGGTGTATTGATGCACATGTGGTGGAGGCTCTTTCTTTGAAGGCTTTTAAACAGAGGCTGGATGACCATCTGTCAGGGGTGCTTTGAGTGCAATATTCCTGCTTCTTGGCAGAATAGGGTTGTTGCTGAATGGCCCATGAGGTCTCTTCCAACTCTAGGATTCAATGATTCTATGATTCTACATTGAGGAATCGAACAGATATTTAATATATATGATCTATTGTAATATTATTATAATTGTATTATGTTATTGTGTTACATTATTATTATATATCCTATTATAATACTATATTTATTATTGTTATAGCTATATCCTATTACATTATAATATTGCAACTGGATATATTATATATATGTTATGTCTCCTCGATTCTTCGATGTGCATAAGACACCTCTTTCCAGATAATAATATAATATAACAACTAATAATAATAATAATAATAATAATAATGGGGGAGCGACGATTAGTAGTCCAGATTTATATATATATATCTGGACTACTAATGGTCGCTCCCCCATTATTATTATTATTATTATTAATTGTTGTTATCTTATATTACTTTCTGGATATATATATATATATATATATATATATATATATATATATATATATATATATATATATCCAGCTAGTGTGTATATAGTGAGCACCCCATATATATAGTGAGCACCCCATATATATATATTTGGTATCAATTTGCCCAGTGGTTTTTGAATTATGTTAATTACACAAACAAACATTACATTTTTATATATATATACACACACACACACACACACACACACACACATACATACACACACACACACACATACATACATACATACATACATACATACATACATAGGTGGGGTGGAGTGGGTGCCAGATTATAATATAATATAATACATATAATAGAATAGAATATAAATGTAATAACTTAATATTCGTATTTTTATAATTGTAATATAATAATATAATATATGATATAGTATAATATAAGAATTATTAGATACTACTAATAAAATGTATTTATTTATTTGTTTACTTCATTTATATACCGCTTTTCTCCCCAATATTATTTATTTATTTATGACATTTATATGCTGCCGTTCTCACTCCGAAGGGAACTCAGAGTGGCTTACAATATGTAAATACAATATATTATTACCATAGCACAATATTAGTATTATATATTACTGTATTGTACTATACCATTATACTGTAATATCATTAGTAATATTACATGTAATATAATATATATATTTATAATATTGTATTGTATTGTATTGTATTGTATTGTATTGTATTATATTATCACAGTGTAGGAGACAGCGTGGAACTACCTTCCTCTTCTCTCTGGTCCCAGAGCAGCAATAATATAAAATATAGTAATAATATAATAATATAATAATACAACAACAATAATAATAATAGGTGGATCCAATAATAAATAAATAAAATATAATAATATAATATTGTATTATAATATGGTTGTAATATTATATAATGTGTAATTAATATAATAAAGATAATTAAAGATAATAATATGATAAATGGTTGAATAGATGGATAGGTCAGTCCAGATAGTAATTACATAATACATAATTACATTATAATAAACGATCATAATACATAACATTAATAAAATATAATTATAATAAAATATCATATAATAATAAAATATGTAATATACTATAACTATAATTACATAAATATTTTACTAATATAATAATATAATATAGTAACATTATAATATAATAATAGTAACATGATGGCCAGATGGATCAATGGATGGACAGATAGATAGATAGGTCAGTCGAGATAACCATAAGAAGTAAATAATATAATATTATAATATATAATAATAAATTAGAATAAATATAATACAATACAATATGATATATAATAATATGATGGATGGATAGATAGATGAATAAATACATGAATTGATGAAGAGATACATGATAGACAGATAGAGATGAATAAATATGGATTGTAGGTTGATAGATATGAATTGTGAGATTGATTGATCAATATCAATAAGAGGGAAATAGATATGGACTGAGGATAGATAGGTGGTTGATAATACTAATGAGTACAGATGATTGTCGGGGCCCATTGACTTGTTTTGTTTATTGTTGATGTTGTTAATAGGTTTCACCCTGATTGGGCGCGATGTAAAGCTCAGCAGCCCCTCGTCCCTGATTGGCCAGGCCTTGAGGGAGATCCTGCAGCACCCGGACCGGGCCCGAGATGCCTTGAGGGTCCTCCTCCATCTGGTGAGAAGGAGAAAGGGAGGAAGTAGGCCTTGAAAGAAGGGCCCTAGTCCCAAATGGGGTGGAGTTTCGACTGAAATGAGCACAATAATTTTAAGTTAGACTATAACGAATATACAGACCACATTTGGTCCCAATCCATTAAAGACATATAGGGGTTTTGTGGAACAAACAAATGTACATATTCATTCGTTTTTGGGATCCTAATTCTAAACAGGGTGAATTTGGACTTTGATGACCCCAATAATTTTAAGTTAGACTATAAACAATATGTGGTCCAAATTAGGTCCTGAACTCTCAAAGACTTAATAGGAGTTTTTGCAGTACAAGCAAATAAACATACATATTTATACAGAGTTTGTACTTGAAAGGCACCAATAATTTTAACTTATACTATATAATGGATGTATGGACCAAATGTGGTCTCGATCCCTCAAGGACATATAGTTGTTTTTGCAGTCCAAACAAATGTATGTATTCATTCGTTTTTGGGGCCCTAGTTCCAAATTGGGGGGGGGGAGTTTAGACTTAAAAGACCCCACTAATTTTAAGTTGGATTATAACGCATGCATGGGCCAAATTAGGTCCCGATCCCTCCAAAACTTCTAGGAGTTTTTGCAGTACAAACAAATGTACATATTCTTTCGTTTTTGTAGTCCTAGTTCCAAATTGGGGGGGGGGGAGTTTAGACTTAAAAGACCCCACTAATTTTAAGTTAGATTATAATGCATGCATGGGCCAAATTAGGTCCCGATCCCTCCAAAACTTCTAGGAGTTTTTGCAGTACAAACAAATGTATCTCTTCATTCATTTTTGGGGTCCTATTTCCAAACGGAAATGAGTTTGGACTTAAAAGACCCCACTAATTTTAAGTTAGACTATAATGCATGTATGGACTAAATTTGGGCCCGATCTGTTAAAGGCAAATGGGAGTTTTGCGGTACAAACAAACAAACATACCAACATTCTGCTTGCTTCCTACTTCCTGTTTCCAGGTAGAGAAGTCGCTGCAGCGCATCCAGGGGGGTCAGCAGAATGCCATGTACACGTCGCAGAGCAGCGTGGCCAAGAAGGTGGGAGGGGTTCCCGGGTGGGAGGCCCTGCTCAGCGCGGTTGGCTTCCGCCTCGACCCCGGGGGCCCCTCCCCCACTTCCTCATCCACTTCCTCTTTGGAAGGAGGAAAGAGGAAGGAAGGGGCTTTCTTGCCGGCCGCTGTCTTCTTCCCCACCAAGGACCCCGGGGACCGCCTCCAGCAATGCAGCAGCACCCTCCAGGCCCTCCTGGGTAAGAGGAAGCAGGAAGGGGAGTGGAAGTGGGGAGGAAGTTGAGGGAGAAAATGACATTGAAGTGGGGAGGAAGCGGAAGTGAGGAGGAAGTGCAAGTGGGGAGGAAGTTGAGAGAGGAAATGGATATGAGATGAACTCCTTGGGAAAGAGGAAGTACAAAGGGAGAGGAAGAGGGGGTGAATGTGAGGGAGAAAATAAATTGACGTGAAGGAGGAAGAGGAAGTGGGGAGTCGAAGAGGAAATGAAATGCAAGTGGGGAAGAAGTCAGTACTGGGAAGCAAGTGGAAATGAACCTGAAGAGGGAAGAAGTGGGAAGAGGAAATGAAATGGAAGTGAGGAAGTGGGGAGGATATGGAAGTGGAAATGAGGATATAGGAAAAGGAAGGAGGCGAAGGGAAGAAGTAGGCAGCAGATGGAAGTGGGGAAGTGGGAAATGAAATGGAAGTGGGGAGGAAGTGAGGAGGAAATGGAAACTGGACTGTAGAGGGCGGAAGTGGGAGAGAAGAGAGGGGGAGGAATACATATCTCATTTCCTTAATTCCTTCCTCTTCCTTTAGGCCTTCCTAGCGCTGCCTTGCAGGCTCTGTGCAAACTTATCTCAGCCTCCGAAGCCGGAGAACAGCTCATCAGCCAGGTATTGGTTACTATCTGTGATTATCTATTAATAATAAATAATAATCGTCTATCTTTTCTTTCTGACAACCTTCCTTTATTTTTTCTTTCTCCTTCTCTGCTTCCAAAAAAAGGCTGTTAGGAATATGGTGGGAATGGTAAGTCCATGTGGATAGGAATATATTATTATTATTATTATTATTATTATTATTATTATTATTATTATTATTATATTGTTACCAATATTACTATACTTTTTGAATTATTATTACTACTACTGTTACCAATATTACTGGCATCATATTCTATTATTATATTATATAACTATTTCTATATTATAGTTTATATTACTATTACTATACTATATTTTATTATTATATATTACCATTATGTTATTATTATTTCATATTATTATATTATTATTTTATATTACATTATTTTTTATTATTTTACTATATTACCATTATAATATTATTATTATATATTACTATATTATAGTTATTATTATATACCTTTATTATATGATTATTTAATATTATATTATTTAATATTATATTAGTTTATATTAATATTTTGTTATTATTTCATATTTTATTATATTAAATTATATTTATATTGTACTACCATTATATTATTATTAATATTATAAATTACTATATATGCTAAGAATTATACATTTCATATTACATGTAATATTACTAATAATATTACAGTATAGTGGTATAGTACAATCTAGTAATATATAACAATAATAATAATAATAATAATAATAATAATAATAATAATAAAATTTTGCTATGCTAATAATATAATATATTGTATACACATACAATATTGATTATAACATTATGGTGTAATACAATATAATACTAATAATGCAATATAATAATTATATATATAAGGTTTTGCCCTGACATGAAGTCCAGTCATGTCTGACTCTGGGGGTTGGTGCTCATCTCCATTTCTAAGCCGAAGAGCCAGCGTTGTCCGTAGACGTCTCCTAGGTCAAGTGGCCAGCATGACTTCATGTAGTGCTGTTACAATGAATCTATTGATCTACTCACATTTGCATGTTTTCAAACTGCTATTGATCTACTCACATTTGCATGTTTTCGAACTGCTAGGTTGGCAGAAGCTGGGGCTAACAGCGGGAGCTCATGCTGCTCCCCGGATTCGAACCTGCGACCTTTATAGTATAGTGCTATATATGGTATAGTACAATATAGTAATATATAATACTAATTTTGTGCTGTGCTAATACTATAATATATTGTATACACATATAATATTGATAATAATACATAATACTAATAATACAATATAATAATTAGATATTTTATATTACATGTAATATTACTAATAATATTACAGTAAAGTGGTAAGGTACTATAGAGTAATATATAATACTAATATTGTGCTATGCTAATAATATAATATATTGTATGTACAAATAACTTGTATATATTATTTTACTATTTTACTATTTTTATTATTATTTCATATTATCTTATTATTTTATTTTACTATATTACCATTATTATTTTTTCATATTATTATATTATTTATATTAGTATTTTGTTATTATTTTATATTATTTTATTTTACTATATTATATTACTATATTATTTTAT